TCATATTTGCTTAACATATATTGGATCCTTGTTATGATCTAGAAAATGATTTATTTCATAATGTCCTGGGCTTTTTTCATTGTCCATTAATGCATTAAGGTGTTGGAAAGGATGTGACAAGATGCTGTCACTAGGTAAAGCAAGCACAGTCAGGAGAGGGGCAGTATTGAGTGAGGAGGTCCTTCTGTGCCACGCCACAAGGAGTCCTGTCTAGCTGCCCTTCTGGCCCGTCTTCCTCATCCTTTCCTATTTGATTCTTTCTAGCACACTGGTTTCCATCAGATATTGTGGAGCAGACGTTAAGTCCCTGAGTTTCAGCATCAAGCAGACCTGGGTATCTGGCAATATTAGTTGCTCACCCTTGGAAAAATTACTTAACCTTTCTGAGCCCCAGTGTCCTTGTCTGTAAAGTGGGTTGCTATGATAACCTAATTTAATAGAGTTATGAAACAATTTAATGAAACAATTTGTATGAAGCATTGAGCACGCTGCCTGTCATCCTTGGGGCTTGGTAAATGAATATGAGTACCCCATGTTATCCAAGGGTTCCAGGGGATGGTTTCATAGGACAGCCCTGAGGAATGGAAGGAGGGAGAAAGCAATCCTGGCATCTGGTATTGGGTCCTATAGCAACCATGAGTCAGCCCCAGGTGCTAAGGGACTAGCAGTGTTCTCAGCACTGCTGGGCGTGTGCTGTGGTCACTTGGCCCCAGTCCTCTTCAGTCACACTGTCTGAGCATCGTTCTTGTAAATCTGGTCTGGGTTCTTTTCAGAAAAACAGCCTCCACCATGTGATGTCATGGTCCAGCCTGAGTCCGAGAGGGACGGCAGAGGAGGTTGTATGCACGTAGTCTGGAGATCTTTCTATTTTGGGAGGAGTCATTTTGGTCTTAGACAAAACTCTCTATCCTTCTTTTCTCCTTTTTAGACCCAGTAAGGAATCAGTATTCTGACATAGTGTGAAAGGAGGTGATAAATCATAATGAACCTTAGCATGAAGCTATCCTGGGTTCAAATACTGACTCCACCAATTACTAGCTCTGGGACCTTAAACTTTCTACTCACTTCCCCATTTCACCCATAGAGAAGATAAGCCTGATATTATGATGGTAAGGCCTTAAAACATGCAGGCAAAGCACTTAGCAGATGTGTCAAGATACCATACAGCACATAGTAAGTGTTCAATAAATGGTAGCTAGTATTAAGTCTCCAGCAGTTGATGAGTAATATAACTTGATCATTTTCTCTGCTTTTTAACCGCTCAGGAGCCAGTTTTCTCCAGTAACCATTCTTCTCTCTGACAGGTGGTCAGGCTCCTCATACGAGGTGTGCCATCATCCTGGCATTGAGGAGGCTGCAGAGAGATGGAGTAGTTATGTCCCTACCCCTTTGCCTTTCCTCCCTTAGCCAGCTGGCTCCCTGGCTGCAGTTCCTCTAATTCTCCCTGCTCCCTCCCTTCCCTCTGATGAAGTTTGTCTCCTCTCTCTGGTTAGGAAGGACCAGCCCTCCCCAGCCAGGACTTCTGGCTTCCCTGACCCTGACTCTTCCCCATGCAGACAGCTGGGGAAGAGGCCAGCATGTAGTTGTCTCTACTCTATAGAGATGCTAACTGCAGGATGCTCCACATATAATTTCAAGGTGTAGGAGGCCCTAGGATTCTTTACTCTCTCCTGTGTTGCTCTGGATTTGTGTGTATGTAGGGGTGAGGTTGAAGATTAGAAATAGCACTCTTTCTAAGGGTCAAGTCACCTCTTCCCCTGTTCCAGGCAGATGGCCTTTGGCCTGTAACAAGAAGGGAAATTTACATAGCAGTGGGATCCCTGTTCAGAAGGAATCAATCTAATCTATGTTGGGGCCAGAAATATCAGGACAATGTCCAGCTGGACCAGAACCAGATCCCTCTCTTCCCAAGCACTGGGGGGTAGGAGGTGGGCTGGGAGGCAGAGAAATAAGGAAATATGTATGGACTTTAAAGACTAGACTCCACTGGATAGGAGGGGAAAAAAGACTAAAGGCAATACTGTGTATAGTTAAAAGGAAAGAGGCATATCTAAATGTAGTATCATGGAAAGATATCTAAGACATATTATTAAGTTTTTAAAAAGTCATTGAATAATAAGGACATAAAATCTGATTTATGCTTTTTTGAAAATCCAAAATATGTGGGGAGATGAGACGAGTGGGGGTATAAAGTTTTCCGTATTAAATATTTTGCAACTAGCATATACTCATGCATTACTTACAACTAAAAAGTATATTTTTATAGCAAAAGCATAAGTGGGCTTAGAAAGGGAAGGTAAGGGCCCTCAGAGATGACTTGCCAAGAAGAAACCAGCCTGTTCCTAATGAAGCCCTTCCCTGACCCATTGCTGCAGATCATGGGACTATCTCCTATGGGTACTTGGAAGAGAAAGGTGAAGTCTCCAGTACTTGTTCAGCTCCAAAGACCTCCAAAGCAAACCGTCAGTTACTAGGATGCTCTCATGAATCAATAAAAACATCCAAACATCCAACTGGTATGGAAAAGTGGGAAGATGAAAATCAAGAGGAGAGAAAATTCAGATTTTCCAATTAGAGGGTTTGGACCCCCGAGTTCAGGAATGACTATAATAAGCTCTCCTTTGGTGATCTTTTTTTTTTTTTTTTTTTTTTTTGAGATAGAGTCTCACTTTGCTGCCCGGGCTAGAGTGAATGCCATGGCATCAGCCTAGTTCACAGCAATCTCAGACTCCTGGGCTCAAGCGATCCTACTGCCTCAGCCTCCCAAGTAGCTGGGACTACAGGCATGCGCCACCGTGCCCGGCTAATTTTTTTTTCTATATATTTTTAGCTGTCCAATTAATTTCTTTCTATTTTTTTGGTAGAGATGGGGTCTCGCTCTTGCTCAGGCTGGTCTCCAACTCCTGAGCTCAAACAATCCGCCCCGCCTCGGCCTCCCAGAGTGCTAGGATTACAGGCGTGAGTCACCCCGCCCCTGGCCTCCTTTGATGATCTTAACATGCAAAGTTAACTCCAATCCTAGGCTAAGAATAACACTTCCTACCAGGTTATCTATACTTTTTGATCCTAAGGCCATTTTACATATAAAAATTTTGAGTTCCAAAGATATGAAATAACCTGCCCAAGGTTACACAGCAAGACAGAGGCAGAACCTGCCTTCAGAATCCTAACCAATTTTTTAAAATTCTTTATGCCATACTGTCCTATTTTAAACCCAACATTTGCTTTTGTCACCTTTAATCCTGAACCCCTACCCCAGTCCTAACTCACAGTGGGCTCATGTGTTTCTGGCCCCAGCCCAGTGGAAATGGTTTGTTTTGCTTTCTGCCCCTCCTTGCTTTGTCCTCTCATCTTTTCACTGAGAAATCTCCCTCTTGACTAAGATTCCTTCTTGCAAAGGGCAATCTTGCGTAGGAGGGAAGGAATAGACTTGGTCCCCAGCCTGAAGTGGCTCTGACATTGCCTGGCTCTTTTCTGCATCATTGCCGGACTGATCCTTACCAGGAGGACTTTGGGGTTCATGTCAACTGGGCCATCTCCCCTCTCCCACTGAATGCCTTGCCAAAGCAGCCTCTTGACCATAGCCACAGAGGAGGACAACAGGTTATCTGTGCCCATGATCCAAGAGCCTAAGATCCTGAGATGAAGATTTTAAGAGCGATCATGGAAGATAATTTGTGGTGGGCAGGATTCAGTAACTGGGATAACAGCAGCAGCTGAGTCCAAGGGTCAGTGTCTGGGAGTAATTTAGGAAAGTTTGGTGCTGACAGCTGTGTCTGGGAGTCGAACGTCATGGCCAAACCAGCTCCTGGGCTTCTCTGCTGCTTCAGGCTAATGACGCTCTGGCCCAGGACGTGGAGGCAGCTGTGGCGTGGCAAAAAGAAACGAGGGCCTCTGGGAGCCCAGGCTCAGCCTTGCTGCCTCCCAGCAGTGTGACCTTAGGCAAGTCACTCAGGAGGAAAGGAAACTAGCATTGCTAAGTGAGTGCAATGTCCTTTCCTATATGCCTTCCTTACTACAAGTAAGTGAGGAGGGTAATGTTCCTATTTCACATGAGCAGCCAAGAAGGTAAATGTGTCATTCAGGGCTATATAGCTGGGGGTGGGAAGACAGAATTAGAACCCAGAGCTACTGAACTCAAGTGCTGAGCTTTCTCTGTAAAATGGTGATAAGTATATACCTACCTCACACATGAAGATTCTAAACCGCTCCTTTCTTTCTCCCAACCTTGGTCCTGAAGAGTTGTGGCCACCTTCTTCCTAGGGATGTAGTAATCTTATTTCGCCTCCTCCTCTGCCCCACCCCTACCCTACTCAACAGGTTATGGGGTCTGGGCCACAGGAGGTGTCTCAAAGGGAGGGTATTCGGATTTTGGATTCCCCTCTACCCGGCTCCCCAGGCCTTCGCCCGACTCTGGAGGGCCAGCTCCCTCGTCTCCTCCTTGGTTTTGGCAGGCAGGCTGACATCTGTGGGTGTTTCCAGGGAAAAGGAACTCGGAGCTGCCCCGCCTAGCTCCAGGCGCCCCTTCCCCCACGGCCGGGGACAGCCCCAACCGCCTGCCTTAAACGCAGAGGCCCTTGGAGCTCCCAGCTCCCTCCTTCTTTTCAAGGTCTGGAATAACAACTCGCGACCCCCTCGGGCCGCGAAACAGCGGGGGCGACTAGAATCCGGATGCTGGGAGACCCCAGCGAGTCCTGGGTGCCAAGCAGCCGAGCCCAGGAGAAGGATCCCGGTTCTGGGGTTATGAGGGGAGCTGTCCAGCCCCGCAGGGTGAGCTAGAAGAAAGGGTGGGCCAACGCGGGCGAGGCGGAGGGAGCCGCGGGCGCCAGGCGCGGGTGCGGCAGCGACTCCCCCTCCAGCCCGCCGGCCCCGGGCGTCGCCCCCGCCCCCCACGTGGCTGCAGCCGTCCCAGCCCCTCCGAGGAAGCGGCGCGGCTTCCTGCGGCTCGGGCCGGGGATATAGGCGCCCCCGCCCGGGCCGGCTCAGCGCCGCCGCCCCTCCTCGCCTCCTCGCCGCGCGATGGCCTCGCTCCGGGCGGAGCGCGCCCCCGGCGGCCCGCGGCTCCCCACGACCCGAGCCGGGCGGCCGGCAGCGCTCCGCCTCCTCCTCCTGCTGGGCGGTGAGCGCAGCGCCCCGGGCCCGGGCGGGAGGCGCGGGAGGCCCCACAGGGGAGAGGGGCTGGACGGCAGAGGCCGGAACGGGCCCCGGGGTGCGGGTGCGGACAGACGTAGGGACCAGCACGGTCCTTCGGACGGTCCCTGGCCCCACCTCGGGGCGGGCACAGCGCGAGTGCTTCCCACTGGGGGAAAGCTGGGTGCCGGCCAGGGCCCCGCGGACAGGAGTCGGGAGGTCTGGGGCTGGCGAGGAGGGAGGGGGCTTTGGGCCTGGATGTGAATGACAAGGAGCTGGTGCCAGCCCCTCCTTTCCTGCCACTGAGGCATCCGTGGGGGTTGGATTATCCCTCTTTCTCTTCCAGGGTAGCCCTGATTTAGGAGGGTCTTAGCCGCCCCCGCCCCCGCTCCCGCCCCGGCAGGCTCCACTGCCCAGATACCTGCCATCCCACTCTCCTGCTTCTCCCGTTCTTCCCACAGCTGTCCTGAAGCCCCAGGAGTCTCTGGCTCAACCTCTTCCCACCACCAGCATCTTGGAGTCAGAAGGTGGGTACCCAGGGTGTGGGAGGGTGCCCCCCCAGCAAGGATGAGAGCCAGGTCAGTGGGGAGGGTCCCTTTCCCACCAGGCTGGCCCAACCCCAGTCGGTGCCCCACTCAACTCCCCTCTTTTCTCTCTGGGGTTTCTAGTGATCTTTCTCCCTGCCATCCCACAAAGCCCCTGCCCAGCTGTGAGCCTGCCCACCTCACAGGTGGGTAAGAAGACCCCAGGAAAAGGTGTATGTGGAAGTTCTTGTCAGGCTGGGATGGGAAGAGCTGGGCACATGGAAGTCATTAAAAGATTCCTAAGCAGGGACTCTCCTTAGCCAGAAGTGTCTTGCTAGGAAAACTTTCTGAGGGGCTCCCATGTTTGATGATAGGGGTTCCACCTTGGAAGTACCTGGGTCAGAGGATTTGGAGGGAGGGGGAGAGGTGTGGTCATTGTGCAGCATCTGTGCCTACAGGGAGGGAGAGGACGGTGGAGGAGAACTATTCGATAACTGTCCAACTTTGCTGGAAGTATTATAAAGTTCATATGGACTCTATTGAAAAGGATTGGTGTGACTGGGCCACGATTAGCAGGTAGGGGCAGTGCTGGAGGGCCCTGAGGCCAGGTTGGGCCTGCTGTATGGAGTGGACCTTGAGTGAGTGTGGGGCATTCCTCTCCCTGGGCACAACCCCTCCTCACTCAAGTTCTCTATTGCCCCCAGGCCTTATAGTGACCTGCGAGATTGCTTGGAGCAGAGTGCAGAGGAGTTTGGCCTGGGCTTCCCCAATCCCTGGGCAGAGAGGATCATCTTTGAGACTCACCAGATCCACTTTGCCAACTGCTCTGTGGTGCAGCCCACCTTCTCCGACCCCCCGGAGGATGTGCTCCTGGCCATGATCATAGCCCCCATTTGCCTCATCCCCTTCCTCATCACTCTCGTGGTGTGGAGGAGTAAAGACAGTGAGGCCCAGGCCTAGGAGGGCACGAGCTTCTCAAGGGCCATCTCACTCCTCTTCCCTGCCCACCCGCTGCCCTCCCTACCCGCTTTTCTCACTCCCACTCCACCCCCACCACAGATCCACCACAGATCCTGGTGGAAATGGAAACCAGGTGGGGTCGCAGCACAAATTCTGTAATCTCCAAAATAAAATTTTTTTGGTACACTGTCCCCCTCCCTGTTTCAGCGGGGCCTGTGTCCTTCCCTGAGTCCCTACCTCTCCCACAGGCCCTCAGCTCTGGGCAGTAGAGCTGGAAGAATCTGGATGGCCCCACTGTTCTGTTCATTTCATCTGCCCCCAGCTGCACCCCCATCACATACTCTTTCCTTCCAGGCGGGGCCTTTCCTGTCCCTATCCAAACCCAGCTCCAGGAAACAAGCAGGAAGAGACTCCCTTCCGGTCTGGAAGGCAGGCGGCAGCTGGGGGCCTGTGATTGGGGAGGTGTGGGAGGAGGGGCAAGAGGAATCTCTGCTGTGACTCCTGCAAGAAGGAAGGGAGGCTGGGTACCTGGGAGCCCTGTCTTTTCCCCTTCCTCCTGCCTCAGTTTACTCCCAGGGTCTGAGAAGGGGAACCCTGGCCTGAACAACAGTAATCCATACCTAAGGTCCTCACAATTGAAGACAAAGGCAGTGGGAGCTTCTTGTACTAGGTCCACCACTCCCCACTCCAGGTCCCTTGCCCTCATCCTACATTGTCCTGGACTGGGTGTGGCCTACAGCCTTGCTACACACTGCCCCCTGGTGTCCACTAAAGCCAACAACCAGAAGATGTATGTGATCTGGAGAAAGCTCAAGGTAGAGGAGCAATGGATCTTGGGGTCAGAAAACTATCATCTCCATAGCAACCACTAGTTCTTAGCTGGACCCTTCCGTCACTTTCCTGAGACATACAATACTACCTTAAGACACCTTCCCACTTCCTAGGGTCATACCTACCCCTCTCTACAACTCACCGTTTCTGTATATGAGTACCCCTGTATGTTCCCTGGCCAGTGAGGTCCAGTTCTCACGAGGTAACCCCCACCTCCAGCCCTGCCTGGGACATGCCTTCCAGGTTACCAAAAACATCTACAAAACAACTTTGTTCTCCACAGACACATCCACTTATTCCTTGTGGCACCCTGAGCCTCTTTAGGGACTTTCCTCCTTGTTGAAATGCCTGCCTCCCTGAGTACATGCTTGTCCATTTCCTGGGACATGCCTGTCTGTTTCATACATAAATGCCTGCATGCTTCTTGGAACGTGCCTATTCATTCTGTAAGACACATTTATACTTTTCAGGATGCATCTGATTCTCTAGCAACAAACCTGTTTCCTAAAAATATTTTGAATTTTCACCTAAGTCTTTGCTCTATTTTTATGAATGCATCTGTCTTCCCAAGGGGTATGTCTGTCCCTTTCTTGGCACATATTTGCCTTCATGCATTTGCCTAATATACATCAAGGGTCTGCTGGTATAAGACTCTTGTATGTGGTATAGTGTGTTGGAAAGATAGGTTAGATAGAGTCTGGCTTCTGCCCTCAGTGGCTTTCATCTAGTGGGGAAGTTGACATGTGTACAAATAAAAGCAATGGAGCGTGTGATGAGAGACATGCAAGGGATACAAAGCAAATGTTATTCAAGAGCAAAGGAAGGCGGGATCACATCTGGCTGAGAGGATCACAGAAGTGTGATCACAAGAGAGTGACTGCAGAGTGGGTACATGACTAGGCCTCAGGTGGAGTGCATTCTCCTAGGGGAGAGAGCAGAAAGGGAGGTGGATTAGGAAATTATTATAATAATCCAGTCTTGAGAAAACGAGAACATGAAACAAAGGAGTTGTGAATGGGGAAATGGAAAATGGTTATAAGGCAGAGGATAAATTAAAAACAGGTGAGGGAATCAGCAGGACTTGGATATGAGGGGGTAAGGAAGAGCAGAGGTTAGGGGTGACTCCGACTTTGAACCTGACTTACTAGGACAATGATGGCAGTAATAAGAAAAGGGCAATTAGGAGGAGGAACTGTCCTCAAGAAAAGGATGTGCAATATGAGGTAACAATGAAATAAGCTATTATATCCCACAGAGAGTTAGAAATGGAGGTGGTGGGAATGGAAAGAGGTTAGATCTGGAAATATAGGTTTGGGAGTCTTCTGCACAGAAATGCAATATGAAGGAGGGATGAGAGCTCCAAGGGAGAAGGTGTACTGAAAAGAAGAAGGCTGAGGTTGCACTCATAGGAAACACTCACATTTAAAGAATGAGGAAAAAGAAGAGACAGAGGGAAAGACCAGACAGGTAGTAGCAGAACAAGAATAAGGAGTGCCGTGGAGGCAAAGGAAATGGTGAGCCTTGAGAAAACATTATCAACTGAAGGGTTCATTCATTCATTCAACAAATATTTGTTGGTAAGTCTATGGACCAGGAACTATGCACAATGAAGTATGGACTTGGGTGAGGGAAAGGTTGGAAATCAGACAGGAAACTGAGGTGGTAGGGTCCAGGGTTGTACATATTTTTAAATTGGGATGACATGAGCATATTTTGTAGCCTAGGTGAGAGGAGCCGGGGGAAAGGGAGAGAGGGAAGATAATAGAGAAGTCCTGGAGGAAGTTGGGAAAGAGAGGCAAGAAAATATGGCAAAAACTTGGCCTTGCAAAGGAAGAGGGACACTTCTTTTGAGTCCAGAAGGAAGAAGGAGTAAAAGTGAAGAGGAATTTTTGAGGGATGAATCAAGTATGGTGAGGGACAGAGAGGGAAAGATTAAGGGGTTCGCATGCATGGCCTCGGTCTCAGAAAACAGGAGGGAAAGGCATTCTTCAGTGAGCAGGGAGATGGGGACAGATGGAATGGCTTGATGAACATGGAAAAGTTTGAATAGTTACCTTGAGGGTGCCAAGAAGTCAATAAAAGACAAAGGGTCACTGGGCTGCCTGTGAACCCAGCAGTGAGGTTAGTCAGGGAATCTGGGGCTCAGTAAACGTTCTGGTGATTTTTTTCCCCAGCAATATTCCATAGCCCAAGAGTGAAAAAAAGAGTATGGGGGCAGGTGAGGGCATGGAGCAACAATCCTAGTTTGGGAACTGATCAGTAGGTAGGCAGGCAAGGGGATGGAACTGAGTAGTCTAGGCTGGGTAAGGTGTCACGTAAGACCAAAAGAGTCCTGGGACTTGAGACTGGAATAGTGAGGACGTGGAGAGATGAGAGATAGATGGCTGTAGTCAAGGATGGAAGCTCTGAATCATGGAAGCAGAATCGTCTCTAGTGATACCAGCTACAAAGTGTGCTCCCACAGGTGCTGCAGGAGCCTGAGGAATGCTGAACTCAAAGCACTTAAGAATTGAGGAGATTGAGGCATTGTGAGGTGTTCAATAAATGGTAATTGACACGAATGTTAAGATTAAAAGAAGCCTTGTATAGTGGAAACAAGTGTAGGCTTGGGTCTGGAGACCTGGGTCCTACTTGCAGTTCTACTAACTGAGCAGCTTTAGGGAAGCCACAGCCCTTCTCAGGGGTCGAACCAGAAGACTTCCCAGGGCTCTTTCTGCTTAAAAGGTAAAGCTTTTTAGGATAATGGCAGGGGATTAGCTGGTGACAATGACCTCCCATTGGGCCGCCTTTCTCCGGAGAGGCGTCCGGAACCTTTCTGCTGTGCTTTCTGCCCGGAAGTACCGAAGCGGAAACCGGAAGTCCTGTGCCGGGAGGTTCCGGGTTTCCTGGGCTACTACGATGGCGATGAGTTTCGAGTGGCCGTGGCAGTATCGCTTCCCGCCCTTCTTTACGTGAGGCTCAGACCCCGAGAAGCCCCGTTGTGCCTCCCTCCCCTCCCTCCGGCCCAGCCCTGATGCTTCACATGGGGAGGGGGAGAAGGGACCCGGCCGCCAACACCCACAGTCACTCACTTTCTCCCCCATACGCACCCCCGGGCAAGGGCTGCCTCTCGCCCCCTCACGCCCTCTAATTCTGCGCCCCACTCCCTTCACCCGGCAGGTTACAGCCGAACGTGGACACTCGGCAGAAGCAGCTGGCCGCCTGGTGCTCGCTGGTCCTGTCTTTCTGCCGCCTGCACAAACAGTCGAGCATGACGGTGATGGAAGCTCAGGAGAGCCCGCTCTTCAACAACGTCAAGCTACAGCGTATCCTCCCTCAGGCTCTTCCACAGCCCACACACATGCACCTCTACACTTTCCCACAAGCCCAGACTCCCTCCCCCACCCCTTTACCTACAGTAGATAGGCTCCTACCAAAACCGGGCTTGGGAAAGTATGAGAATGTGAGCTGATAACCATTTTAGCCTCCAAATGCAGTACCAAACCCTCTTGCGGTGATGAGTGCCCAGGTATCATTCAGGTCTTAGACTCTCTGCCCTGAAGCCAAGTCCCAAGCTTTTCAATCTGAGCCCTTTTGACTATTTGAATCTCCTGTCCTCCTCTGGGTGAGGCTACATACTACCTTTAATCATTTTTTCTACCCACCCCCCTCCTCCCAGGAAGTAAGAGTCATTTGTTTTTGTTGCCGGATTCATCCCTAAAATATCTATGGAGGAAGGCTGAAGGAAGGCAAGAGGACAGAGGTTGAAGAATGGTAGTATCTTTCATTTTCTAATGCTCCTTCTTTTTTTTTTTGAGACAGAGTCTCACTGTGTTGCCTGGGCTAGGGTGCCATGGCGTCAGCCTAGCTCACAGCAACCTCAAACTCCTGGGCTCAAGCGATCCTCCTGCCTCAGCCTCCCGAGTAGCTGGGACTACAGGCATGCGCCACCATGCCCGGCTAATTTTTTCTATGTATTTTTAGTTGTCCGATTAATTTCTTTCTATTTTTAGTAGAGACGGGATCTCGCTCTTGCTTAGGCTGGTCTCGAACTCCTGAGCTCAAACAATCCACCCGCCTCGGCCTGCCAAAGTGCTAGGATTATAGGCGTGAGCCACTGCGCCCGGGCTGCTCCTTCTTTTCATTGGAAGAGTATCTCTTCCCCCCCCTCTTTTTAAAGAGATATAGTCTCACTCTGTCATCCAGGCTGGAGTGCAGTGGCACAATCATAGCTCACTGTAACCTCCAACTCCTGGGCTCAAGCAATCCTCCTGCCTCAGCCTCCCAAGTAGCTAGGACTACAGGTGCCCACCACCATGCCTAATTTTTCTTTCTTTTCTTCTTTTTTTTTTTTTTGCAGAGT